AAAAAAAAAAAAAAAAAAAAAAAAAAAAAAAAAAAAAAAAATGGGAACATCGCTGAATTTAAAGTTGCCCAGCTGTCAGTAAAGATGCTGAACTCACACAAGGCTGTATCCTAGCATATTTTTGGAAAGTTGAGGGGAAGGAAAAAACTGTTGTTTTATAAACATAACCACAGTTTTGCTAGGACGCCCCTTCAGTGCATTGATTTGAGTTCAAGTTGGCTCTTTAGAGCTTTAACTGGTCGGGCCACCCTTTTTGGGTATCTTGAACTAACCACGGCTAAAGATGCAGAAAGTTTACAAAGTAAATGATTCATCTTCTTTATAAGTTAAGGTCCCAACATCTGAACAAAAAAAAGTAGAGGTCTGTTGCTATATTAAAGGTGCTCTGGGAATAAAATCATTTGTAGGTGTTGGTCGTCTGTGTTTTATTGTTTACCTGTGAATAAACCTTTTAGGTGCCTATCCTAACAAGCTTTATAAAAATGCATATTTACATTTTTTCCAGGAGGACTTTGTACCTTGCTTCATAGTCAAAATTATGGCTATGTGCTTTAATGACAGTGGTGTCATTGCTCTGTATTGCTCAGTAAACTGACCGTAGCTTTATCTTCTCGTTAAAACCTTAAATGCAAAACAAAATCGAAGAACCAAAAATTGTTTTTGTTTCTTTATAGGAGTCTATAAAAAATGTAGCCCACTGATGGGGGATTTTTTCTTTGGTGTCTGTTTGTTTGGGTTATCTACAGTCTTAGAAGTGACATTAATACATTTCTAATCATCAGTTATAAAGTAGGTTTAGATTTGAGGCCAGACGGTCAGTTTGTATATTTGCATATCAAACATAAACATTAAATGAAGACTTTACATAGGAAAGAATATAGAAAGATAATTTATTTTTCATCAGTAAGAGAAATGGCAAACAAAATATTGTTGCTTGTTCTATGATGGTGTTCAAACCTGTTTAAAAAACGTAGAATATTATTGGAAGCTAATTTATTTCAGAAACTTCATCACTAAGCGGATTGCATTACAGACAAATGTTTTAAATGTTTATACTTATAACTAATGCAAACACTATATTTGAGATTACATCAGACTAATAGAGGAAAACATTTTCATTACATAAATAGAATGTATAGTGTGTTTAGTTTCCTACTTACCGTAAAGGTTGTTATCCGCCAAAGTACTTAAAGTCTGATTTACAAACCTCATCAGAAAACCTATTCCAATTTGTAGAACATGATTATCATCAATACCAACTTTTAACAGAGAGACTTTGCCTTCCTAACCAACGATTACTCATCAGTTGCAGCATGACTCATATCAAAATAAAACCAACTTGTTGCTGGTGCAGAGGGTGCAAGCCTCTGTAATTATCAGCTATTGCCTAAATTAAAGGGTGCACAACCGCAGAGGGATGTCATTTGGCCAAATGTGATCTGTTCTGATCCTGTTAAATCTTATTGGTTGCAAGCGTAATGGTTATAATGCTTGTTTTTCTCATTTTTTATTTTATTTTTTCTCAGGATGACATCGAGGCTGTTGACCCCAGGGGTCGGACACCTTTGCACCTGGCTGTGTCACTTGGACATCTGGAGTTAGTCCGAGTTCTCTTGAGACACGGTGCTTCGGTGACTAAAGAAAATGCCAAGAGTTGGACAGGTTAGCCTTCTGCATATCAGCCAGCACATGCCACCAAACACTGCAACCTTCATCCTTTCTTACACACAGGCTTTTCACACCAGTTTGTTGGTTGATCTATCTCCTAAATCTTCTCCTCAGCTGTTGTTAATGGACTTTCCTGTAGATGCATAACACACTCCCACAGTTACAGTAAAACAGCCAGCATTCACATTACTGAGGTTTTCTAATGGATAACTGCAATACATGTGGGACAGATGCTGATACTTTAACAGGCGTTGTGGTTTCCCTGAGCTGGTGTGTATTTTTGCAGTGCTGCAGGAGGCCGTCAGCACTGGAGACCCTGAGATGGTTCAGTTAGTGCTTCAGCGTAGAGACTACCTCAAAGCCTCCACTGCTCTGGGAGGAGTGCCTGAGCTGCTTTTGAAGATCAAGGAGGTTTTTCTTCATATATATATATATATATTTTTAATCAGAATGTTTGTAAGTCTGGAAACATTTAGAATGACCTCACTTTTAATCCTTCCTAGTCTCCAGATTTCTATATGGAAATGAAGTGGGAATTCACCAGCTGGAGTGAGTGGTATTTTCTTTCTTTCTTTTTTTTTCTGTTGTATGCTAGTTAGAAAGGCAGAGCAGAGGCTAGTTCTCGTGCATAAAGGCTTCAGCAGGTCATACAGGCAAAACAACATACCTGTCGGTGCTGTTTTTGTTTGGCTCAGAGTTGCATTTTTTCTCCCATTTGCTTTAACAGTCCCTCTTCTGTCCCGGATATGTCCAAGTGATGTTTGCCGCATTTGGAAAAGCGGTGCCTGCCTGCGAGTGGACGCTACCCTTCTGGGGTTCGACAATATGACCTGGATCAGAGGGCGTAGGAGTTACATCTTCAAAGGAGATGGTGGGTTTTCCTTTCTTTTAACTCCTTCATATTAAGCTGTTCTCTATATTGACTGCCTGTTTTGATAGATTCCCATGCCGAGCTGATGGAGGTCAACCATGATGATGGGGTAGTTGACACAGAACGCTTCAACATATCCCAAGAAATTGAAGACGTCACTTTAGAGTCAATGCAGCCAGCAGAACAGGAAGTTGCCAAAAGGTTGACAACCCCTATTGTCAACACCTACTTAGACACAAAGGATATAGCTTTTGAAAGGCAAGTAATTTATTTCTATTTGCTTTTTCTATAAACAAAAGATAGATCTAATGATCTTTGTTTATTTAAGTTTTATTGTCAACCCCAAATTAGGGACGTTTTTGGAAGATTAGTACTTCTCCCATGGAAATCATTCCTATTCTATGAAGCATTTAATTGTATTTTCTGTGTGTAGAAATATTTGAAGGAGTGAATGTTTTAACATCTTATTAGAGCTCATTTCTGTTATGCCAAACAAACCCACCCACAGAGCCTCATTAAGATATACATACACTTTAACCCTTTAAAGTCTAGAGTATCATATCTGATACAATCAGTTTTTGAGCCATCCGCATCACCAGTGTGATATTTTTGATCTTAAAAACCTTGACTAACACATTCTGACACATGTAATTAACAGAAAATGTATAAGGCATTATAAAGAAATGCCTAATGTATCAAAATTTATGCAAAAAAATTATCTATTTTCACTTATACAAAATGTAGGTTATGTATTTAATAGGTCAGAAAGTTAAATGACACCTCTAATAAAACTAAATAGAATTTCGTGTATTATTTCATGGTCCAGGCTTTAAAGGGTTAAATTCGCCGCATCTGTCCTATTTCGACCACAAACATCTGTGTACTTTATTAGTGTTTGAGGTGATAACCCAACAGGGTGTACTGCATAATTGTGAGAAGGAGGCTTTATGATAACTGGTTTTAAAACTATTTTTCTGAAAATTAATATGAAAAGTCTGGGGTGCATTTGTAAACCTCCTCCCAATGTCTTATGATCCATCTAGCAGGTTTTCAAGGATTTTTGTACTCCATCCATTGTTTTTCCATCATCCGAGTATTTTTCCTGTCAGTGCTAATGAAGGAAATCCCCACAGCACGATGCTTCCATCACCGTGCATCACAGTGGGGATGGTGCACAGTTAGTTTTTCTCAAGCACCTAGATTGAGGAGATTGATTTTGGTCTGAGTTGACCAGAGCATTATACTCCTCCACATGTTTGCTCTGGCTTTTAGCAAAACAGACAGCGTGTGCAAACTTTTGTTTGTTTTTGCTAATCTTTCAACAGCCTTCTTCATTCTAGCCACTCATGCATAGGGTCAGATTTGTGGTGCTTGACTATAAACTGATTCTCCCGCATTAACAGTAAAGCTCTGAAAACTTTAGTTTGAGTTACCTCGTTGCTTCTCTGACGGTTTAGGTAGAAGACCATATCTTAGTAAGGTTTATGTTGCAGCCTTGCCTCCTTTTTTAGATGATGGATTGAAAAAAGCTCTGGGAGATTTTCAGAGCTTTAAATGTTATTCTCTTTAAACTGTCTGCTGTGTTTCTTGGTCTCCATGATGCTGTTTTTTTAGTGATGTTCTTAAACATCTGATGCCTTTACAGAACGGATGGCTTTATACCTTGGTCTTTTTTTTCATTTACATATTACACAAGTCCTTAAACCAGTTGATGATGCATAATTTTGTTGCAGAATAAATATTAGAAAACTGTACAATTTTTTTATTATGCATAATAATTTGTTAGCCTTTCACATTTAAACAATTTTGCATTCAAATGTGTGGTTGTAATATGACAGTTTATTAGTGTAAAGTTGCTCTAAAATAACAAAAATTATGTCTTGTTTTCTGAAATTGGTATTATTTTTCTCAACAGATGCAAATCTGGGATTTTGGGCTGGAGAACTGACAAAACGGAAGTGGTTAATGGATTTGAAGCAAAGGTTTGCATACGTCAAAGAGTTACATTTTAAAAAGAAACTCAAAATCTGCTATCACTATTACAACCGTTTTGAATAATTCTCACATTACGTCGTGTTGGTGTTCTTTTTCAGGTTTTTAGTGTGAACAATGTAAATGTGGTCATCAGAACGAGGACAGAGCATTTAACTGATGAAGAGAAAGCCAGGATTAAAAGTAGGCCAAGAACATTTCTTTTATATATTTGTAACTCCAGATTTAAACACTGACAATAAATGTTCTATTCAAAGGTGAAAGGAATGTTTTGGAGTCTTTGCTGGGAACCGTGGAGCAGCACATAAGTGCTCAGGGGGTAAGATGTGCATTTCAAAATCGATCAGTGATCAAAGCATTTGTTTTTCCCACAGTTAATGGGTTATTTAAGACGATTGCTTCGATTTACAGAACTTGACTCTGGAGTACGCCACAGCCACCAACCCCACCGCAATCACTCCAGAGGAATATTTCAATCCCGACTTCGACCTGGGTAACAGAGACATCGGCCGTCCCATTGAACTGACTATTCGAACGCAAAAGTAAAATAAAGTTTCCGTTTTAGTTTTGTTACACCATCTCCATCAGTTATCATGCACATTTGGTGAATGCTATGTGTAATATTGATCTGAATAGGTTCAAAGGGACACTGTGGATGAGTGAGGAGCATCCTCTGTCTCTGGTGGAGCAGGTGACCCCCATCATTGACCTCATGGCTCGAACCAGTTCCCATTTTGCACGATTAAGAGACTTTGTAACCCTGAAGTTTCCCCCCGGATTTCCAGTTAAAATAGGTATAATACATGAATACAGAGTGTTCTTATTTAAAGTTTACACTTTAAAGACACCTTTCCCTTTTTCTCAGAGATTCCCCTGTTTCATGTGCTGAATGCCAGGATTACCTTTGGCAACGTGAACAAATGTTGCACCGAAGAGGAGGCAGCAGCCACGCCGTCCTCGGAAGAATGTGAAGCAGCCACCGGTAGCGGTCCATCCAGAACATTTGCCATCTTAAAAACAAAAACTTCATGTGTTTTATTCCTGAGTAATTCATTTTCTTTCTGCCTCCCCACACCCAGCTCCAACTCCATTCCAGGTCTCTCCCTCTGTGTTTGAGGTACCTCCCAACTATCTCCGGAGAGGGGGCAGCCGCCATACGCCCATATCCAACAATGACGACGAGCTTCTGCAGTATGCCATCCATCAGAGCCTCCTCGACTCTCAGAGAGGCTCAGGCCAGGTCAGAACCATTCAAATGATGCTAAAAGAAGTGCTTTGTTTTTCTTTTCAGTGCTTATTTAAAAATGGTCTGCACCCTCCTTCCTAAATGTCCCTTTTTATTTGTGTTTATAGGAGGAGAGCTGGAGTGATGCTAATGGGGGATTTCCAAATGCAATGACTGGCAGCCAGAGTGATGGGTAGGTCTGAGTCTTTAGCTCAACACATATCGTTGCAAAAGCAGAAATATAATTTTTTTTTCAAAATTAAAATCTCGAAAATGCAGCACACTTTTCTATTCAGACCTCTTTACTTCGATACATATAAATAAAATCCAGTTACCCTCTAAAGGGCTCATTATGCTTGACGCATGGAAAACGATTACACGAGGAAGTAGTAAACACAGCCTTTCACAATTTTATCAAAACCTCTTCCTGGAGTTTTTCCACAATGTTTTGATAGTGAGTATATTTATAAGCTAAATCAAGGGATGTCTGTAGATGTTTACATTTGCAAACCTTCGCCAGCATGAGCTTCTGTTTGCTCACCATGTTTTCCACGTGGTTCCGTCTACATAGTTACATATTTTCCTAGTTGCTCTACCTGGAAATTCTGTCTGCACAGAGTCTGTTCGGAGGGGTATGGAAGCCCAAAATGACATAATTTGGCCATGCGGACCTTCAAGCTTAAGGCCAAATTTTTTTAGTTCTGAGATCGTATCAGAAGTTGGTTTCAATAATAAATAAAAACCATTATAAAGGAAAGAACAAAGCATATAGGTGAGGGTTTCAAGAGAATATACTAAACTTAGTACATCTTTAGCAGCGATGGAGGTCTCAAGAGCGGTCTTGATCTTTGTTGTTATTGCTCATGATTAATCAGAATCAGAAATACTTTAATAATCCCAGAGGGAAATTACTTTTGTTACACGCTCCAGTTACAGTTTTATATGATATATACACACATCCAACTATACAATATAATAAAGATAAAAATAAGAAAAAAAATGACCACAGGTAGGAATGATTTCCTGTGGCGCTTTGTGGTGCATCTGGGTAGGAGGAGTCTTCTGCTGACTATGACTATGAAATCTTACAGTGAGAATGTTTATTTTATTCTTTGATTACTGCTGCTTTACATCCATTGCTTAAAAAAAAAGCAAATATTTACCTACAATCTTGCTTTCACGGAAGACTCCTGAAGTCTCACAACTGAAATTTATTAAATCTACGTTTTGAAAGAATAAGCATTTTGATGAAAGGAGAAGAAAAAAAAGACGGAGCAACATGTCCAGCTATAGAATGAAGCGGTGAGACATCTAGTTGTACTTTGCATTTACAGCAGACACGCAAGGAGAATGAGTATCTGATTTACTTCAACGTTCAGGCAAAGGTGACAATGTGTTGTTATTTAACATGGTAGGAGGGATTCAGCACATTCACTAACAAAATGAATCAAAAGACATGCACAACACCCAATTTAAACACTAAGCAGTTGAATGAAAATAAAAATAGTCAAATAGAAGTGTAAAAACTCTCCAATGGTATTGCAACACTGTTCTATTAATTAAAACCTAAACTCCCTTCTTTCCAATGGTCTCGTTATCAGTAGGGGTTTCTGGTGGGGGTGACATTCGCAGTTGTTGAACCAGCCGAGGTTAAACGTTTTTATTGGGTGAGGAAATGAATGGAATTGTGCAATTCTCAGACCGCCATTAAATTTTTTTAAAATCTCGTACTCCCTCTAGTGACAGCACGTGCACCTCTGCGCCACACCTTGGGAATCTCTGCTGTCATGTAGAAACATAAGAACTTCTTTTAAAATTCACTTTTTAACACACAAAACATATTTTTAAATCTGACAAAGATTTACTACTCTTACTGTTTTTCTAAAATTCATCTTATTTTGCAATGTAAACAAATGAATTAAGTTTATCGAATGTGTATATCTGTGGCTTCATTTATTAACTTTAATATCAGTTTATGAAATACAGATGTATTTTTGGTAGATACATTAGACATTGTTCCATTAATTTAGCCTTTCTTTGCCCTACAAAAAATTATTTCCTGAGATATTTGTCAAAATATCTTAATATTTGGTCTGTTGGATGAAAATGGTGGGAATTCCTGTTTTCTCCCAGACATGATAAGGAGAACATCATAAAAAGTGGGTTCGTTTGGATGATTTGAACTTTTAAGCCCACAAGCAGTTAGCTATAAACCTGTTTAGATGAAGGCTTTTGTGGAAAACGGGAAAAGGTCAGGGGGATCTCCTTTTTCTCAGCCAGTTGGTTGTAAATAGGTGACCTTGCAGATCTCGCTTATTTTCCTTTAATGTCATTCCAGAAGTATCCCAGAGGGGGTGCTGGTGGAGTTTGGAGACAGCGTCAGCCCGGCTAGCTCTCCCTCTGCTTCCAGCCAAGACTCAGAGCTCCGCCTGGCCATGGAGCTCTCTGCTCGAGCTCAAGAAGAGGAGGAGAAGATGAGGCAACAGGAGGAAGAGGAGCTGGAACGGATATTGCAGCTGTCACTCACTGAGAAGTGAAAAGAAAAAAAAAAAAGAGGGAATTTTAAGCAACCACCACACCTCAGTCTTCCCTTCCTAACCTTTCTAACTCCACCTATGCAAACACAGATTTTTACATTTACTGTACAGGGCAATAAAAACTCTTCATTATTTTCCTAAACATATTTTTGATAAGAACATACACTTTCCTATATTCCTATGAGGGTATCTGCTCATATCTTACCCAATTCAGACAGCTGGAGTCATTTAAAGTTATTTTGTTCTTTTTTCTTTATTTACTGCAGCCCTCAAGTGTATTAATGTTTGGATTGGGGATGAGTCAGAGTCAGTCTCTTGAGGTAGTATCCCCAAATGGTTCAGCACTTGGATGTTAAAGTATCTGTCATTTGTCTGATTGTTATTATATTTTTCAACCTTGCAAGCTTAAAGCAGCAGGTTTGAGTATTATTGCAAAGTCTTCCTACAAACTCACAACTTACAGAAACCGTAGGCTCATCAAGTAAGAGCTATCTCAGGGTTCCAACTTCCTAGATATTTTTCCAACATGTTGGATTTATTTATGAGTTTCAGAACTATTTTATCCTGGTAAAATGTAACGGTGCAAAAATCGGTACTTCTCAAACATCACACCATGCTAAACAAAAAAGATGAATGGTGTGATCTTAGAGCCGTTTATGAATGCGTTTTAATGTACTTTGCGAATGTAAAGGTCTGCAGCTTGTGAAACAAAAGCATGTTGCCATGGGAGATTACTTTTTTTTTTTAAGTAACTGCATGGTGACAGATCTGTGCTGCAGTTACGCCGAAAACTTAGCTTGAGGGACTAAATAACTTATTTTTGTATCCTTTCACTGAGCAGCTTAAAAAATTGCAGTAGCAGAGACCGGTCTTATCTGTGAGACGAGGCGTCGAACTTTAACAGAAACCAATGTAGCAGTTTACTTTTTCCTGCCGTGAACAACTAAAGACGTCTAAAGAAAAGGAAGACATCACTTATTCCAGCGTGATTAGAAATGGTAGCTTCAGCATGTGCTAAGGATCGCTTTGCTCTGAAAATGCCCGAGGTGTGGTGGTGGAAGTTTCATCAAGTGCCACTAGACAAAAAAATTAACTTTTTTATAGTTTTTTTTTTTTAAACTCTGATGGAAATGCTTCACTTGTAACAGAGTAACATGACTTAACCACTATAGTTGATCTTCCTGACAGCCAACTACTTTTTAAACCTCCCCATTGTCTCTGTGGCTCCATTAGGAGCTTCAACACAACAACTAATTGTAATGCATCAAGTTGCCAAACTGGAGAGAAGTCAACTTTGTGAAGTTAGCTAAGGTTAATATAATGCAGATCTTTGTAATGCAATGTTTGAGCAAGTGTGTTGTTTTTTTATGGTAAAAAAAGACAAGAATGTCTGAAAATGTTCTAAAATAAAAGCACTTTATTTCCATGAGGACTAAACATGTTTACCCGACTTTTTATCTAAATAGCAGGAAGTTTATCTGAGCTTTATGATCAGGTTCTTTATACAATGGGCTCAGTAAACAATAGTCAATTTAAATCTAACATCTTGATCAGCAGTGGAGGTAAAGAGCTCTGCAGTAGAATTTCCTAGAACATTTCCAGATTTGATCTGCCTTCATTTACAGAATTAAACAAGGTTTGCTGAATTTGATGTTAAAAAACCAACACAAAGTGGTACATAAGCTATTAAGCAATACCTTTTTTCTTTATTAAAAATATGGATCTGTGTTCATATGCCCCTAGTTCTTATAACTAAAAAATAAATCCAGTCAAACTAAGTATCCTCAAAAGTCACCAATTGGTAACCAGTCCATTTGTGTTTAATTTAACCTCAGGAATAAACCCAGTTAATACATCAGATGTGTTTTTTTTTTTAATGTTACAGAACACAATATCAAAATAACCAATTAGCACCATAGATAAGCCAGAGGTACATCTGTTTAGAAACCTGCAAAATATTGATCAGACATGCATCTAGTTGGCTCAGTATAAACGATGTAAAAATGCAAAATGTAATAAATAAACTGGAGTAGACTTGTTTTCATAAGCTCATAACATTGAAAATCTAATGTATGAATAATAAATATCTGAATTTTTGTTTGAAAAGTCTGGTAAAGGGACAAAAAACTTTTTTTTTTTTGTTCATTTTAAAAATCTAACTTTTATTTTTTATTTTCAAAGGTAGCTTTTAACCATGAAGAATAAGAAATCTGATTGTTGTTTTAAATATTTCCCTAAATTAATCTAATAGAGAAGATTTAAAGAGAAAACAGTTTTTGTTTAAAGCATTAGATTGTAAGATTTCTTTTCAGCCATTATTTTTTGTTTCTAGGCTATAAAATGTTAAAGCTTAGATGGCGGGCATCAGAAGATCTCTCATGTTTGAACAGCAATTTGACTGTTTTTAAGCAAGGCTATAAATTTAGAACAAAAAAAGTTGCTACTAAATAAAGCCTTTCAATATGGAAGCAGCGATAGACAGCCTATAATTTTCTGTCATTTTTTTGAGCTGATGATTTGAGAGGGGAAGTATTTCTATCTTGAAGCCACAAATGGCACAGTGTTTGACAGACTCAAATGTGACAGCATACTTTAAGGTGGACGACAGTGGCGTTGGATGTAGGAGTTTGCCCTGAAATCAAAGGGTTGATGGTTCAAGCCCTGACTCTGACTTTCAGTGTTGTTGTGTCCTTGGGCAAGACACTTCACCTGCATTGTCTACTGGGCTGCTGTACACTGGCCTGGTGGTGCCAGTGTACAGCAGCCCTGCTTCTGTCAGTGAGCCCCAGGGCAGCTGTGGCTACAATGTAGCTTGCCACCATCAGTGTGTGAGTGAATTAATGTGGTGTAAAGTGCTTTGGTCAAGTCTCCAGACTTGAATAAAAGTGCTATATAAGTACATGCCATTTACCTTTTAAGGTTACATTAATACGTGTTATAAATAATGTTATAAGTAAATGTCAAGCTGCTCCTGGAGGATATTATTTTTGTACCACTCTTGAATGATGATGTAATCTTTCAGGACAACTGCTGCCAACTTTTAGTAAGCAGATTGGCCGGACTCTTGATGGTGGATCGTATTAAATGATGAGTCGCTCTGTTGGTGTCGACTCACAATGCCCTTTACGTCAAAGGATTGGCTCTGGCTTCAAATGTAGTTTCAGCGACGAGCCAAAGGTTTGTAGACACAAACAGCCATGATGATCATCAGCAGCAGCAGGACAGCGAGGACACTCCCAAGTGTTACTATGATAGAAGAAGAGATCAGCAACAAAATTTGATGCTGCACTGATGCACACAAGACAAGAGCATTAAACCCAAAGCAGAGCTCCTGTCTCTCACCTAAGTTCTGCTTCTGCAGGACCACATAAGGCCTTTCAGTCAGGCTGGAGTCATCCTGGGCGCTGATTATCTCACTTAGGCACAATATTACAGCGTGTGGGATGAGATGCAGCTTCATGTTTATCATGGATGAATGAGGAGGAGGAGGAGAGGCACTCCTTCCGCTGCATCAGGGTCCTAAAGTCACTGTTTTTTTTTTGATTATCTATTTTCCTTCTGGATATATTTCACTAATAGAAATTTACAGTTTTGTTTTTAAGGGATTTTTTAAATCTCTTTTTTAATGAAAGGCAAAAATGTGGTGAAATTTTGCTTTAACAACAAAAATAAAACTGACTGAAAAAAAGATATCAGCAAAAAATGTATATTGTGAGGAAAACATTATAGAACACTGTAATTTGACCAAGTTCTGCTGAAATAACTTCAGTTCTAATGATCTTGAAGGGATTTACTCAGCTTGTTTCACTCCTCACTTTTAGCAGTGGGAATATTTTTCCCTTTTAAAGTAATTTATAGGATACATTGATCAAATGCATTTTAGTTATTCTATATATAAATATATAATCCAGCATTTATAATCCAATGTTTCCTGTGTGTGCTTCTTTTTCCAATAAAACAATTCTGTTTAGTTTGATGGTGTTCTAACATTTGCATATACAAAGCAAATAACTGCTGCTTTAATTTTATTGTAACATGTAGACTACTTCTCCAATCTTCAATATTTACTTTCTCAGTGCACAATGTCACCTAAAGGTGACATTTTATAAATTAAAAACCAGATTTCAGGTTCTGTTTCTGCAGGGTGACATCTGGGCTCTCAGTCAGGCTGGCGTCATCCTGAGCACTGATTATCACACTGAAACCTCATTTTAAAGCCTGTGGGATGAGATGCAGATCGTGTTACAGGATGGAGGAGGAGGATGGAGGCATTTTGTCTTTTGCTCCTTTTGAGTCCCTAAGCCACAGGGCTATTGGACTACTGAGATTTATATTACTGACTTTTTTCGGAACCACTGACCAATTTTATATTTTAATTATATACATTTCTTATAAATGCAGCAATAATAGCCTTAAGAAAATAATGTTTTAAAGTATGATCTAAACAAAATTGAAAATGTTTTATTCTAAAAGAGCTATAAATATGACCTAACCAAGAAGGCTGTTTTCCTCTTATCATGAGCTTGGAGAAATAAAACATTTACACTTCTATTAGACTTGATGAGTCATTTTATGCTTGAACCTAAATAGTTACAGGTTTCATATCAACTTACCTCAGTGATTTAAATTATAGGTTGATCAAAGGTTTCGTCTCAGTCTTGAAAATAAAGCTATAGCATATTTTTCCATGCAATTATCCACTAGTATTTCATTAGTGCTTGAGGGAAATATGTTGTGTCATTCCAGGAACTTAATGACGTACTGTAATGGGACATTCTCCTGGAAACTAGGAGCCACTTTCTGTGGACAATACTATTTTTTAACCAAAGTCTATATTGAGGTGACCTATGAATGTAAATAACCAGCCAATTTCTGAAAAGTAACTGTTAAGTTGTGCAACTACCTAGTAAGTACCATTAGATTAGTCTCTACTTTCCAAGAAAGTACCTTGGCAAGCTTTGGGAAAGTAACAAATTGTAGGAAATTATCTGTTAACCTCTAAGCCTGGGATAAGGAACTAATTATTATGTAAAGGATTCATTTAAGTACCTCATAGATTCCCAAAAAAGCTCAAGAGAAGTGTTAGATATATATTCTAATTACATAAGGCAGGGGTACACTAAGAGGTCATGTTTGATATTTATTCATTTGAGAATCATTTTAATAGAAAGTTACAATGTTTAGTGTTCCAGAGGTAAAAGTAGAATATGCAAATGAAATGTTCAAACCTTTTCACTGCAGTAAACTTTCAGTCACTGCAAACCTGAATCAAAGATTGTCAAATTCTACTTATATGTGTACAGAAAATAAGAAACATGATAAATATATTTATAAATTTTTACTGACAACTTCACAATGACATGAAATAAAACCATAAAAAATACCATGTGGCATCTTTTATTACTGTTAAGATCAGATAGAAGTAAAGAATGATGGATAACACAAGAATTAGCTATTATGTTTGATTTTAAGTTTCTTCTTATGCTGATTGACCCATCTTATTGTCATCTTACTCCTGTTGATTTACTATGTGCAAAACTAAAAGCCATACAACAAACTCATCATCCAACAAAACCCATGTCTGAGTGGGCAGAGATGTTACAGCGTATCCATTACTCCACAACTGAATAACTATTCTAAGAAATTTGGTTAAAATCAATAAAAAAAATATCAAAGTGTATACAGAGGGAAAGAAAAGTACAAGGAATGTTGGGTGTGATTAGTTGATCTTCAAAATTACTAATATTAAGTGACTGTAGTGTAGTGGAAAGGCTGATTGCATTTTACCCATCAAGATCTTTCAAAACTTCAAGTGTTTTGGGTTCATTAAGCAGCAGGTGGATTTTTTTTTCTGCAGAAAGATTTCAGACATTTGAAGAACACACAGCTACGTCTGTTTTAGTCCGAAGCAGTTTTAAGATGTGGAAAAATTGAATACTGCCACCCCTTATTCGTGGCATGTAAGATTAACTTTTCCAAGGAGAATTCTTCAGAGAAACTTTCTAAAGAGGAAAGCTTTATATCCTGATCTTCTGATGATTTGTGTCACATTTTAACCATCATCAAGTTCAAAAGATGCCAGTGATGCATTTTCTGCACTGGGAGTAACGGATAAAAACATGACACAGCTGACAGAACAAACCAAAAAAGAAGAGAGATAAAAATACCAGATTGGCTAATTAGTGTTATAAAATGCCACCAGCAAACAGATAAGGTTTGACTGAGAGGCTTTGTAAAGACTCAAAATTCACAAGGTTGGCCTTGTTTTCTCACAACCTCAGCGATCCTTTCTGGCATGCTAGATATAAACTTCTGAACCAAATCCCGGTTTATAGTGAACCATTCTTGTCTTATCAGAGCCTGCAGCTGATCACAGTTTGTTGGCTTCTGCTTGTCCACTTGCTTTTTGAGGAACGACCACAGGTTCTGCATGGGATTGAGGTCCGGAGAGTTTTCTGGCCACAGGTCCAGAACTTCCACCTCATGATCTTTGAGCCACTTGGTTACAGCTTCTGCCTTGTGGCATGGAGCCCCATCATGCTGGAAAAAATATTTGTCATCGTCAAACTGCTCGTGGATTGTCGGAAGAAGGTGCTCCTGGAGGACATTTTGATACCACTCTTCATTCATAGAGGTGTCTCTGGTCAGAAGTGTGAGGGAGCCCACGCCCTTGGATGAAAAGCAGCCCCAGACACGCACCATATCTGGATCCGCCACACAGCTCTTCTGACAGGCCTCGCCCTTTCTTCTTACCAATTCTTTTCCAGATGTAAACAATTGGAAGGTGGACACCTCAGAGAAGATTACTTTGCACCAATCTTCTGCGGTCCAGTCAACATATTTCCTGCAGAACTGAAGTCTGCCCTGGATGTTCTCCTCTGACAAGGGCAGCTTCTTTACCGCCCGTTTCCGTCTCCCTCCGTAAGCAGATGCTCGGACTCCGACCTGCTGCAATTCTTTCGCCAGCTCTGCGCCCAGACTGCCACCACTGCTCTTGCTGGATAGTTTTGGGCGTTCAACACAATGTAAAACCCGCTTAACCGTGGACAGAGACACTTGCATTCCAGCAGTTTCCAGTTCCTGCCAGATTTGAACTTTGGTGGTTCCTGGGTTGTCTTTGAACATCTTAACTAGTTTTAGTTCATCTGAGTGCGAGAGCTTTGGCCTTCTCCCAGACCGAGGCAAAGTGCTGACGCACCCAAATAAATCATACTTGCGTATAATCGACTGAACCGATGATTTTGGAATCTGCAGCTCTTTAGAAATGGCTCCGAGAGATTTTCCTGACTTGTGTAGATCAACAATTCTCTTTCTCACATCTTCACTGAGCTCCTTGGATTTCCCCATGGCTTTAAAAATAGATGTTCTAGTGAGGGCTGTGGAAAAAAAGGGATCCTTTTATGATGGCTGAAAGAAGCTGTATTAATAAAACCATTAAAGTAACATTTTTGCAGTTGATAAGAGAATGCAAACTTCTGATTGCAGCTGGAAGCTAGAGGCCAGGTTCCCTGCAGCTGGCTGAGGCCCAGATGTGCTGCCCTCAGCAGGCGTTTCAACACGTTGCAAAAGGGACTTTGCACACGAAGAACCACAAGCTGCTGAGGTGCAAATGCTTCAGCGACGAGCCAGAGGTTTGTAGACACAGACAGCCATGATGATCATGAGCAGCAGCAGGACAGCCAGGACACTCCCCAGCGTTACTGTGGAGGAGCAGAAAAACACACACAGACATCAGCAACAACACTTCATAACAGAGAATAGGAAGCATTCAGCGGTGCACAGGAGATCAGAACATGGCGATGATACTGTAAAAAATATAATAATAATAATATTAGTACATGTGTCAAATAAAAAAAAAAATAAAAAAAAAAAAAAAAAAAGGAACAAAAGAACAAAACAAAACAGCGGCCCCGAATGGAAGATTCCCATTCCTCATACTGGCTCCCAGTTAAACGTCACGTCTCACCAAGATTCTGCTTTTGCAGGACCTCATATGGTCTTTCTTTCAGGTCGAAGTCCTCCTGAGCGCTGATTACCAGGCTAAAACAAAATATTACAGCCTGTGGGATGAGATGAAGGATCATGTTACAGGATGGAGGAGGAAGGAGGAGGAGGGTGGGAAGCGTTTCTCCTTCTTCTTCTTCGGCTGCTTCAGGGTCCTAAACATAAAGCTACTGACTACCGGCGGAGCAGTGGCGCCACCAAGGGGAGACTGGAAGGAAATGTCAGCTCCCAGTAAAAACTTAATGTTGGTCATGGTCTTTTAAAGAGAAAAAGTGGTTAAATTACTCCAATAAAATAAATCTACCAGCAGGTTGTCATCATTACATTTATTATTTTGACCAGAATGTTCTAATATAACTATAAATCAGACCCATATATTATAGAGAAATGGTGGTCTAGTGGTTAGGTGCATTGTGCTTGGAATCCTGAGGTTCTTTTTTCATGCCCCACTCCCACAGACTGCCACTCTGGGTCCCTGAGCAGGGGCGTCAGCTGACCCAATGCTATATAGGGGCACAATATGGCAAAAAATAAATAAAAAAAAAATTAAAAAAAATTGGCAATTATTTATTTTAAAAAAAAGCATGGGCACAGATAATTAATGCAAACAAGTGAGCAAATATTTTATGAATAAATAAATTGTACAATCAGATTATTTTCTGCATCATTAAATATCTACCTGAACCAAACTGAATTGAATTGGCCCACTTATGAACCTAACTGTATATCTCTAATCCACTACTGATGAAGGCGCAGTTTATCTTCATTAAATATCTGCCTGCAAACATGAACTTGAAAACTGAAAACTTGAAATGTGGAACTGTAAAAGGAAAAAAAAAAAAAAAAACACCTCTACATACATACAGGTCTGTGTTTATCATTTCTATTTGGGCCCATCCTATGATGGTGTGATGGTGATAATCCTAAGGTGTGTATCATGGCCAGAAAGATGGGAGAGCTGAATGTTCTTTTTTTTTTTTTTACAGTAAATGGTTGCATCTCGGCTTCATTTTTGCAAAGCTGTCAATCAATTGTGACTGGCTTAATTTGGAGAGTTCTCCTCGTGAGAGTGTGCCCAAGGAGTACCCAGGCATTGCAGATCCACCACGGGGCACGTGCCCCTGTGAAAAGGGTCTGCTGACGCCGATGTCCCTGAGCAAAGACACTTAAACCCAAACTGCTCCCCGGGCACCGCACAATGGCAGCCCACTGCTCACCAAAGAAATGGGTGAAATGCAGACAGTGAATTATATAGTTTAGGTAATTGGGGAGGGGGGCTGACTTGGTGACACAGTCGATGGATGCAGACAGACACACAAAAAATATGTCAGAGGAATTATTCACCTAAAATTAAACACCTTATCAAATGGAAATGGCTAAGCAGGCCTACATCCAAAGGTATTCATCTTTTATGGACCTTTTTTAATCTCTGCAGACCCTTTGGATGGTAAATATGACCACAAAATCCAGGAAATGTTATTAGGAAGTCTCAGGCCATCATTCATTAAACTTGGCCATGGCAAACAACATCAATGAGTAGAGAATATAGATTCAATAGAAATATGAGGCATCTTTTTTATGATAAGGCACATAATATTATTTTGGCCTTTATGATAATGACATTTTGTGGATGTGTGTTTTGGTACAAAAAGGTGTCACTCACAATCTTTCATGTAATTTTTTCCCTGAGATAACTATGATCAAACCTTTATAACTCTTGAATAACATTTTTTAGTTTGTAACTATAATCAACTGGCCTCACATATAGTATAAATAAGATAAAGAAAAAGGACTCGAGAAAGATTTAGTTATCAGTTATTCCTATAGATCACATAATGTACAGATGTGAGATGAACTGTTTCCTTCAAAGTTCTTTGAACTGTGACAGAAAGTAAATTTTAATGTTTCTGATAATTATAAATAAATGTTCATGTTTTTTCTTTAATTTAGAAAAATATTACAGAACAATGAAAAACATACAGACAGGTCAAACTTTTTGGGGTACCCAATACATCATCTCTCCTCCTGTCGGATGGATATAGGTTTTTTTCAAATTTTTTCTTCTAGCTTTCAAGACATAATGAATATTACGAAATGTCAGCCACGCTGGACAGAGTGCTTTAAATAATGTCACTGCAACAAGAAAGCATGCAGAAAGACAGAGGCCATCACTTAATTGGATGTATTAAGAGACACACACATATCCTTCTAATTAGTATCAGCTTTGGCTTGATTAACCAAGGAGGTGTATCTAATTGGGTTAATAGGGTAAACAGAAAAATGCACCTACAGCAATTTTAAAAAGTACTGTGAGTATTGCTCTGTTTATTAATCTCCATGCTCGCTCAGCAGGAGCGAATGACGACGATAATGTCATGATGCAATTAGCTGTGTTTTCCTTTACATCGACTTTAGACAGAAAACCTTTAACCAAACCTCTCTGATCTGATAAAGTGTCCTGCATGATTAACCATTTCTATATATAGCATCTTCTCCACGATAAAATATGATCACACACCGTGTGCATCTGAGAGTCTAATTTACTGTATAAATAAAGGATAACAGAAATTAAACCAAATCTTTAATTTATTTAGATTAAAAAGCAACAATTTTGATAGTTTACAATCTATATCTGCTAAAATGTCTAATTTTAATAACCAATAATTGTGGTATTTCCTGTTGATGCCCTTGCAGTATATTGTACCATATTTCTTTTAGAGCTAAGTGTTAGAAAATGTTTTTTTCCCTTGTAATTCCATAGATGAGTGTATCAGTCTGAAAAATTGGCGGTGTATTTCAGTCTCTTTCATGTATCCACTGCGCCTGCTTGGTCTCCACTTCAATAGCGTCTCTCACACCAAAGGGCTTTAATCTACTCACCATCCTTGAGACAGCAGCGGCTCAGTGGGCCTGAACTTTATGTTTGGACCCATAATTATCCATATAATCCCATTAGATAATGGGATTAAAGTAAATTCTAAGGATTAATATCTTAACTGGAAGGTCTGTTTGCGTTCTATTTCTTTATCCAAATATATTTTAACTGGGTAAACTGACATCACAGAGACTTAACAGGCTTTTTGTAGATTTTTAGCTGGAAGTTTCTCTCACAATCATTCAGAGTACAGTCATGGCTTGCATAAAAAAACAAAACAAATACAAAAAAGACACCGATAGCTGGCTACAGCAGTACTGCTGTAGATTTTTCTTGGTTAACATCATCTGAAACATGAAACTGATAGAAGGAACAGCACAGATGAAACCAGGTATTATAATTACTTTATAGACAATTTGCAGAAATCATGCCAGGGAGGACACAACAATCATCACACAAGTCTCTGAATCAACCATTTAAAGTATAACTTCTGACTAAAACATAATACATCTGATGATACACATCTGAACAGTCTTTAGAATAAAAACCTCAATGGAGAGGCACAGCATCAGTACCACCTTTACTGTGTGCACATGTTTAGCTTAAGGCAAAACAGTCCAACCAGAGTCAAAGGACACTATAGGTATTCTTTTTTATTATGTTTATAGGAATTATTGACTTAAGAGTTTGAGAAAATAGACAATTATTCAGCGATATAATGAAAGAAAGATGTCTGCTTTTAATGTAAGAGAATGTATATTATTTATTTTTTGTATTGTTCATTTATATCTTGTAGGATCTAAATATTAACTTTTTTTTAGGTAAAAGTTATCAGATCCTAATGAAATACAACTATTTAATGAAGACTGGATACCTGTCAATGTGGTTTGGGCCTAACCACACTAAACCAAAAAATAAAAGCAATATTTTTCTCCGGAAATTAGATTTGCTATGAAAAGAATTGTTATCTTGTCCTTTGTTAGAGATACTTTGGATCAAACATAACATCTTTACATTTGACCAAAGTAGAGAAAATGCTGTAGCAGAGTCTGCCTAATGACATCAATAATAAAATGATATAATCTAAGTATTAATGTCCTTTCCAAAGCCTTATATAGGTGCATCTCAATAATTTAGCAAATATTCGAAAAGTAAATTAATTTCAATGATATACAATGTATTACAGAGTGATGTATTTCAAAGTCTTATTTCTGTTCATCTTGATAATTATGGCTTGCAGATAATAACAATAACAAAAACACTGAAAAGTAAATATCCAGCATAACTAGGGAAAAGACTGCTGACCTAACAACAGTTAGGTCAGTTTTCGTTACTTAAAATAAAACTTGTTTTTTTCTTTTTTTGGAATCTGGAGGAAGAGTAGAAAGGCGCATAATCCCACTTGCTTGAGGTTCACTGTAAAGTTTCCACATCCATTGATGAATTTAAGAGCCATGTCATCGACTGTGACCTCTCAAGTCTAAAGGTCATGCGGTTGTCCACCAGGACATTTTAGAAATTCATGTTTTGAACTACAGCCACCAGAGAAACCCAATATCCTTATCATCCTAGCAGGACAACATAAGGATATTCTCTTTGCCAGCCTGAATCCATGCAATAATTCATTCCAAATGCCCAGTATTGACAGCAGTACAGCACTAGTCAGAATGCCTGAAGTAAAATCCTTTTATTAACCTTATATAATATTCCAATTTACTGAGATACTAAACTTTAGGCTTTTTGTTTTCTGTAAACCATAGTCCTCAAAATGCAGATACATAAACAATTAAAATACATTACTCTATATGCCATAATGAATTTAATTTTTTAAATAAAACTACATAAATTAAAGTTATTAAAATGAAATACCACTTACAACAAGCTAGCATCACATGAGAAAAAAAAGCTATATTATGGAGCTGTGGACTGCGCAGGTGATACAGGTCTGAATCACACCTGGAGCAAAGATGTACCTATTGCTATGTTAGATCCTCCTGTGTAGCAGCCTTGAATTTTTCACCAATCTGCTGTGAAAATTAGCTGACATGTTCAACATCAGCACCAGGAGAACAGTCAAGATGACAGATCATGTAGGGGTTCAATCACAAATGACTTTAAAATGTGGTTCAAAGAGGAGTTCAGAAGCACACGGTGGTGCTCATGTCTTTCTGTGAGACGGTGGCCATGTTCAGGCTGTCAGGATGGATCTCTGGGATGGTCCTCTCTGGTCTCAGACACACAGCCAGTCTCTGTGAGAAACAAGGCCTTGGTCAGACGTAAAACAGGTGATATAGTAAACATGTTTGGATTGTCTTTTTTTTATATCCGCACACCTGTTTGAGAGAACCAGGGGTCCACACCAGCTTGTAGACCATGTAGATGGGGATCCACATGAAGGAAGAGAAGCCAATTATGTAACCGACCGTGATGCTCCAGTCTGGGTACTTATAGTCAAACAGCGTGAGGGGAGGTGTTTTCAGCAGAGAGCTCACTATAATATACTGAGAGGAGAAGAGAAAATGTAGACTTCCATATTAAAAATTGCATGTGCAGATAAAATAGGTGGTATAACTGAATTACTATTGGCTTCTGACCTCAGTAATCTTGCAGGTGAATACCAAACAAACATACATTAAATCTTACTGGGATTCAAGTGATATGATTTCATAAACGATTATCCTTTCTAAAGGTAAGCAGCAGAAAGTTTGGAGAACTGTATTAATATGCTCATACTTTTAGTGTCTGAGAGAATAGAGGCAGATATGGTTTGTATTATTTTTGTAAATGTACTGCAGCTTTTGAGGGTCTTTGAGAGGTGAGTGGTAAGGCTGTTACAAAGGTCCATCCATAAAATACTTTGGTTTCAGTTGTTCTTTGATGGGAAACAGATTTTTTTCTTCCAATGATTTATCCAATGATAAATAGCAGATTTTGTCTTTTTGGTGATGTGGTCTTGTGACGTTTAAATTGCAGTATACTTTTATAACCTAATTTCATGCTTTGTTTTTGCCTTTATAAACATTAAACTCAGATATGCTTTAGGCTTCTATCTCTGCGGTTTTGTACCACGGAGAAATAGTTCTGTCTTTTGTTTGTTTGATTATTGGCTGCTGGGAAAATCCCATTTCCAGTCTTAAAACTAATTCTCAGTTAGTGTGACTGGGTCATGCTAACGAATGAATGAGCTTTTCACTGTAACTCTGACTGTAGTTTTTAAGTAGAAGATTAACCACCTTAGCTTCGAGTCTTCTGAAACGTCTGTGTCAAAAATTTGTTAATGGCCGTGTTCTTTGTGGTCCAAAAATGCTTCCTATTTCACCTGCTTTAACCTTCTAATGTGTTTTCTGAGTTCATTCTACACTTTTTAAAAATGTATTAATGGGAAAATATTGAACATTCAATATTTTTAACTGTCGCCTGTGAATATTTCTTTCAGCCCACTGCAAATGCAAGTAGACAATAGGTAGAATAAAAAGAAAATAGACAAAAAAAGGTGGATTCAAAAAAAGCAGAGAACTTAGAGTAGAAAATAAAGGATCACATTTGTTTTGGTGTTAAAAAGGTTTGCTGGAGAAAATATTCAACACTAAGGGATTTAATTGAGTTTAGTGGCTTCATTTCAGCAGCCTTAAAAGGTTGTTCCAGAAAGTGTTTTGTTTTGTACTTATATCTTATCTCTCTCTCTCAGTCTCCCAAATAGACTATTTCTTTATGAATCAATTGCTTTCACATGAATGCAAGTTAACATGTTTCCATTGTGCTCTTCCAAACTATATGCCGCTGCTGCAGAAATTCAGGTTTCCCATTAGGTTATTGGTGTAGTTAAAACTAATGATGTTTTTTTTGTTTTATCTCTTACCGCCAAAAATGCAGGACTTATGGCGACCCAGCACACTCTCCAGAACAATCCTGGTGCTTGGCCAAGCATTGCCTGAATATCATTACTAAATCTTTTGATCCCTAAAAGCATAAATGACAGACGTCAGGACTGTATCTCTTACAGCATATTAACAGTAGAAGGGACAGAAAAAAAAAAAGAAAGAAAAAGTATATGTGTACCATAGAACCAAGAAACTGCAACAGCTTCAAGGAAACCCACTGCAATAATGGAGCATCCTACTCCAAACTCTTCCAGTAGCTTCACCACATAGGCCCCACCCTATAATAATATCAAAGTTATGGGTTAAAACATCAGTGAATGTTTTATACTCAACACCATCATTTGAGACACAATAATCAGAATTTAAGTTTACAAAAGATAATCTTGACTTAAATATTACAATGATGAGGAGGTAACGAGAAAAAAAAACATGCTCAGATGAGCAAATCAAACTCACATTTGTAAGGGTGCTTAGAGAGCCCAAAAAACAGACGAACACCAAGCCTAGAACAAAAAGCTCACGTCTGTGAGAGAAGTACTCTGGATATTCATCCAGCACAGCGGTGATGATTGCCTCCAGCCCTCCAAACTAAAAATAACACAAACATTACTATTAGATCACCCATACATTAAAGTGAGCTGCAAGACACCTAAGTTGAACTTAAAAAAACATTTCTAACCACTTGTTTTATTGGATTAGGTGCAATGTTTTAAAGAGCTTTTTAAAAATAAAAAATCTGAGAAGTGTGGCCCCATCACTCAAAAACCCATCAATGACATCCAGTGCTAATTTGCGTTTAGTAGTTTCTATAACAAATAATAAGTAATTTCCTCTTAGTGTGAATCCAGTTTTCTGTGAAGGTCTGCGAGTTATACCACTGAACATTAGAGAAAAGATATGTTATGTAGAAGATTGTGCAGAAGTTTGGGTTTGGTTTAGAAACAACATCACTAGTTTCATTTAAGGGGGCCCTGCTCTATGTAAAATCCAATCCAACTTTATTTATAAAGCACTTTAAAATTGTGCTACAGTGAACAACAGCAAACCCATACACAGACTTAGAGGACTTAAATTTATAAAATCAATAAAAGCTTAAATACAAATAACAAAATTAAAATAAGAACTAAAAAAAATCTGTACTAAAAATAACATCACAGGATACGTTCAGTATCTTACATAGTGTCAAAAGTTAAGGCAAATAAATTAGTTTCAAGGAGGATTTAGAATCAGACAAAGATGTTTTAATACGCAATGGGAGGTCCTTTCTTATTTTTGGAGCTTGATCCCCCCTAAACTTTTGTTTGTTTTTTAGGCACCAAATGGAGCATGTCCACCTCAGTTGCAGACCAGTGCCATTAAGAAGAGATAGTAATGGTAGAAACCAAACTGGACTGTGAAATTGCTGTTTGCCATGTTGTGCCATTTAAGGAAGGGGTCATGATCCCTGCCTCCACCCACCCAACCTAAGCAAATGGGTGATTAACAGGCCCTGATGTCTGCTGAGGAGATAATGCAGTCATTTGATTCAACTGAGGCTGGAGCAAAGACGCATCTAAAACATAAAGGACAGTGGGTTCCGAGGACAAGAGTTTGTGTTCCCTCTAATTTAGAGCACACGGAAAAGATCATTCAGTGGTGCCTCTGCTATGAAAAGAAACAATACTTGCCATCATAAAAAGGACATGATGTAGAACACCTCTGCTAAACAATACTCTTGAACAGAAAACCCCTCCATTATCCATTTGATGAAAGTTAAGATTATTTACAAGAAAGAATGTTCAAAAAGTCTGGATTCTAAATATGGAAAGCCGTTAGAAAGATTTACCCAAAGATCTATATCTTTTCTGTGGAGTAAGCATATTGACACTGTATCTAAAGTCTTTTTACAGTAGAATAGCTGGATTTATACCGACATAAAATCCCACACAGGTAGACTTAATTAATTGATTTAGTTAGGGGAGAGATGAAGGGAATTAGTGGTAAGGAATTTTCAGATGATTTATTATAAACAGATTGAAGGCTATTAATCATTCGCCTTCTGCTTTATAACTATATAGTACGGTAATTTATGTCAATTCATAATTAACATATTAATAAAAATCCTTAAAGTTTGTAGTTTAAAGAACACCCCTATTCTCTGAAGATGAGACATGCGAATTTGTTGCAAGCATTAGTAAACCTCAAAGCAGTCCAGATAGGTGGTTACCTTTTAAAAGGCACATTTAATAAACATGAGTAGAAATAGCAGTGACATGCTTCTTTTTTCAGCCCTTTGTTGTACAAACTGAGGTTTCAATTACATATTATTATGTAATGACACAGATTTCATACCGTGCTATCGAGTCCCAGTGTGATCATCATCACAAAGAAAATGATTGCAAAAAAAGTAGACCCCATCATGTTTGCAATTGCTTCCGGGTATGTGATGAACAGTAGACTTGGCCCTGAAATGCAAAATAGTAATAATGACAATAAATGTGTTTAAGGCAGAATTTACTAAATTATGAATATGCAGTGGTTACGTTTCAGTCATCTGATTTAAATGGTCATTGATGAATTTTCTGACCTTTATCTTTGGCCACATCCTCCACCTCTACTTTCCTCATCTCGGCCATGTAGCCCAGAACCGTGAAGATTACAAAGCCCGACACAAAGCTTGTCAGACAGTTCACCAAACTTGTCACAATTGCATCACTATAAAAAAAAAAAAAAAAAAAAAAAAAAAAAAAAAAAAAAAAATACACGTAAACGTAATGCGACTTACTTAGATGATGTTACTGTCTGGTTTGATTTCTTTTGGAGGTGCCTTCTGTCGAACAATTTTACAACAACCATATCCACATCTGGTGACAGCATTTATGAAAGATTTAAATGCAATATTCCACTAATGAAGAGGAATTTCTTTCTACAACTATGGTTTTATGGTTATAACAGCTTAATCTGAT